CTGCTTAAAGCCCCTCCCTCCCTGCTTAAAGCCTCCCATGGCTCCTCAGTGCCTTCAGGAAATGTCTGAGTCCCTCACCATGGCCAGCGCCCCATGCAGTCAGCCCCTGCCCACCCTTCAGTTTCTATGGATACCATATTCCCCAAAAGCTCCCTTTATACTGCGGGCAGGCAGCGAGGTCAGGACAAGCACAGGCTCTAGGGCCAGCTCCACAGACTAGCTGTGAGACCTCAGGCTAGTTACCTCCTCTCTCCAGGCCTCAATTTCCCCATCTCTTCAGTGAGGATAATAACAGCACCCACGTTATAAAATCATAAGGATTAAATGTGCCAGTAATACATGTAAAGCTTTGAGAACAGTGACTAGACCAGAGGTCACCCCCTTTCCCCGCTGCCCTGAACCCTCTGAGCTCAGTTTCACTGCCACCCCCTCAGGAGCCCTCCATCCTGGCCCATACCCGGTGGATGAGCTTGTTGAGTGTGAAGTTCACCAGGCCATGCTGCAGGAGGGCCCCAGCCCCACGCAGGTAATAGGAGCGGTGGCCACACACATGGGACAAGCGCCTGAGAGACAGATGGGCAGACAGGTGGGTGCATATGGGCCAAGGCTAATGGGGAAGAGGGGGACTCAAGCACCCAGGGGCAGAGGCCCAGCTGCCAGGTGGGGCTGGGGCATCAAACATTCATGCTGGGTGTGGCCCTGGCATTTCCACATCCTGTGATGAGGCCGATGAGGCAGGAGCGGCCACCAGCTGTTGGGATGTGGGGATGGCTCGGTGGAGGAGGTGCAGAGAGGGGAGAGGAGCTCACTTCTGCCGGATGATGTCGAGTTCCTCGCCGATTTCCAGGTGCCCCCGGGGTTGAAAGGAGAAAGCTGGATGTGGGAGAAAAGCAATGGGGTAAGAGGCGAGAGAGAGACAGGAACAGGGATCGAGAGAAAGGATTAGAAGAGGGCAGGAAGGAGAGACAGTAAAAAGAGGAAGGGAAAGAGGAGGCAGGAAAAGAGAAAGGGAGAGAAAAGGAAAGAGAGGAATGAGGGAAAGAGAGAAAGAGAAAGAGAGATGGGAGAGGGAGGGAGGGAATAAGACAGAGGCAGACACAGTGCTGACAACACCAAGGTCCGGGGCTCGATGCCTGTGCTGGCCGGCCGCCAAAAAAAAAAAGATGGAGGCAGAGATGGGAATGGGAAGGAAAGAGAGAGAAATGGGGAGAGAAATGGGGAGACAAGAGTTAGAAAAGGAGAGGAAGAGAGACAGGGAGAGAGGAGGAAACACTACAAGGGAGAATGAGAATCAGAGAGAGGAAGATGCAGAGAGTCAGGGAGGAAAAGGCCATGAGACAGGGACGAAAGCAAGGGGGTCAAACGGAGATGAAGGAGACAGAGGCAGATGTGCGCGTGCGCACACAGAGGACACAGGGGGAGAAAGCCTAATAAGGTGAGGGGAAAGAGAATCAAAGTCGAAGAACTGCCCCTCAGAAACAGTTCAGGCCCAGCCGAGGCAGGAAGGTGAGCCACCTCCTGCAGCGCCAGGGGTTCTACAGGCTCCAGCTGCAGTCCCAGACCCCTGGAGTCACCACTCCCAGACCCCGGGAGCCCTTGCACCCCAGCCCCAGCCTGGTGGCCCACCTGGCTTGTCTCCGACAATGTGGAGCACTCGCGCCTGGCTCTCATCCCCGACGGGCTGTAGGGAGACAGCGGGTGTCACGGGGAAGGTGGCACTAGTGGGCCCCTGGCCTTCCCCATTGCCCAGCATGGCACTCACCACATCTGGGTGGGTCTGGTTGGGCAGCTTCAGTGCCTGCAGATAGAACTGCTCTTCTAGCTCTGCCTCTCTGGGGTACAGGAGCACAAGCTGCTTCCGGATCTCCCGGCCACGTGCCCGCAGACCCTGATATTGGGGGTCCTTGGGGTAGGACAAGCGGGATCAGCCTGTGAGAGGGTTGGGGGGGGGTCCCTCAACCAGTCTGACCTTGATTCTCACTGGCAGAACCTCTGTGGTGGACATTTGTTGACTCTTCTATTGGCCCAGCACAAAAGAAGAAACCTCCCTCACCACACGTGGTTTATGGGGACAAGATTCAGTATTGGCCAACTGAAACATTCTATTGCCTTGGCCACAGTGATCCATTCAGAGACAGGCACGTGACCCAAGATGAACTCATGAGAATGAGCCCCAGGATTTTGGTGGGAGCTATCAGGAAAGTGTGCTTGACCCTGCCTTCCCCTTCCACAAGGGGAGAATGCTGGTCTGGGAGTGAGAGGAAAGCAGAACCCAAAATGGAGCCAGGACCTGGATTCAGCTGTACCTGAAGCCAGAATTTTAGTTTCATGAATCAATAGAGCTTGCTTTTTCCGCCCTTAAACCTGTTTGAGTTGTTTCTGTCACTTACAACAGAGGACTCGTGACTAATATGGTATCCTCCCTGCCCACCCCAACTGGGGTCAGGACATCAGTTCCCTGAGGTACCTGCTGCTCCTGACTGTTGTCCTGGTTCACCTGGTAGAAAAGAGACAGAGGGAGTGATTAGGTTGATGAAGTTGGGGGAGGAGAAGAAAAATAAGGGGTGAAAGGTCAAACAAGGCCCAGGGATCTGAATCTCCTGCTCTGTCAGTGCCTGGCTGGGTCCCTCTGCCACTCTGTGCCTCCTCAGTTTCTCCGTCTGTAAAGCTAGGAGGAGGCAAAATAACATAAAAGTAATCACGCCTGCAGCTCCATTTATTAAGTGCTGCCTCCATGCCAGGCTGTGTGGAAGGCTCTCGCATGATCTTATTTCTTCATAACCCACTCTGTGAGGTTGGCATTAACAGGACCCCTGTTTGCAGATGAGAAAACGGAGACTCAGAGAGGTAAAGTCTGTGCGTGTGTATTTGGAGGCCTGCAACCAAGGGCCTTTGACTCTCTGAACCACCTACGATCCTGAACCGCTGAGAAAACTGGGCAGACCTGGGTCTGAATGTTGGGTGCTTACTAGCTATATGCCCTTGGGCACATCTCTGCCCCTCTCTGAGCCTCAGTATCCCAGTCTGTGAAATGAGATGATAAGACCTCCCTGGTGGGGATGCTGTGCAGCTTCCCTGAGAAGATGAGTTAGTGCTCACTGAACATTAACTGACCACTTTTGTTGTTTTAATTAGCTGGCTGCCTGCCTGTGATGCATGGAGCCTGAAGCCTGGTACACAGTAGGTCACTGGGAGACGTAATCAGTGGTGGGAGAGGCCTTTGAGGGGAGTGGTGAAGAGCAACCTAGAATGCCCAGGTGCAAATCCTGGCTGTCAGACTTGGGCGCCTTTTAACCTCTCGGGGCCTCAGCTTCCCCAGCTGTAAACCTGGCTTTCTACTGTTCCTGTCTCACGAAGTTGTTGCGAGGATTAAGAGTATGAAAAGCCCTCCCTTGCAGCCAGTTGTGCTCATGTGATCAAGACCAACCAATAGACGTGAGTGGAAGTGGTTAAGTGTAACTCCTGGGTCACCTCCTTAAAGATAAGCCCCTGTCCTGGACTTCCCCTTTCTCACTCCCCTTGGACTGAATGATGGGCCCTGAGGAGAGATGAACCGACAGAAGTGTTTCCCAAGGTTGTGATCCATTGGTGGGTGTTATAAACTGAATATTTGTGTCCCTCAAAATTCATGTTGAAATCCTCACTCCCAATGTGATGGTATCAGAAAGTGGGGCCTTTGGGAGGTGATCAGGTCATAAGAGCAGAGCCCTTATAAACAGGACATGTGCTCTTTTACAGGAGACCACAGAGAGCGCCCTTCCCCTTCCGCCATGTGAGGACACAGCAAGAAGATGGCTTCTATCAACGGGGAAGCCAGGCCCTCAGCAGACACCAAATCTGCCAGCACCTTGATCTGGGACTTCACGGCCTCCGGAAATATGAGGAATAAAGTTTTGTTGATAAGCCACCCATTCTAAGGCCTTCTGTTACAGCAGCCTGAACGGACTAAGACAGAGGGTTACGAAATGAATTCAGGATCTCTAAACTAGCACTTTAAAAAACTGCGGTAAAATAAACAAAACATAAAATTGCCATGTGAGGACACAGCAAGAAGATGGCTTCTATCAACGAGGAAGCCAGGCCCTCAGCAGACACCAAATCTGCCAGCACCTTGATCTTGGACTTCACGGCCTCCGGAAATATGAGGAATAAAGTTTTGTTGATAAGCCACCCATTCTAAGGCCTTCTGTTACAGCAGCCTGAATGGACTAAGACAGAGGGTTACGAAATGAATTCAGGATCTCTAAACTAGCACTTTAAAAAACTGCGGTAAAATAAACAAAACATAAAATTTACCATTTTCATCACCTGTAAGTGTATGGTTCGGTGGCGTTCACACTGTTGTGCTGCCATCACCACAATCCATCCCCAGAACTCTTTCATTTTCCCCAACTGAGACTCTGTACCAATTACACCCCGATTCTCCCTCCCCCTTCACCCAGCCCCAGCAACCGTCATTCTTCTTTCTGTTTCCATGATTTTGACTACTATGTATAGCTCATATAAGGGGAATCACACATTAATTGTCTTTTTGTGTCTGGCTTATTTCACTTAGCATAATGTCTTCAAGGTTCAGGAACATGTCAGACTCTGTCGTAGCATATGTCAGAATTTCGTTCCTTCTTGAACCTGAATGACATTTTATTGTATGCATATGGCATATTTTATTTATCCATTCATCCATCCATGGACATGGGTTGTTTCTACCTTTTAGCTATTGTCAATAATGCTGCTATGAACGTGGGTGTACAAATATCTGTTCGAGTCCCTGCTTTCAATTCTTTTGGATATATACCCGGAAGCAGAGTTGCTGGATCACATGGTAATTCTGTCTTCAGTTTTTTGAGGAACCGCCATACTGTTCTCCCCGGTGCCTGCACCATTTTTCATTCTCACCAGCAATGCACACAGATTCCAATTTCTCCACAACACAATTCTTGCCAACACTTACTATTTTCTTTTCTTTTTTTTATAATAGCCATCCTAATGGGTGTTTAAAACAGCACTTTAAAAATGGAAAAGAATAACACCAAGGTCTGCCAAAAAATAAACAAATAAAAATGAAAAAGAATATGATAAGAAAATAAGAATGCATCACACATGATAAGAGCAAGAATTGTTAACGAAACTTTGGTTTCAACTGTGGGTGTGTGTACTGAGTCAGGACGTAAAATGTATTTCTTGCTCTTAGCCACAAAGTTTGAAAAACCCTATTAAAGGGTATGACACTCTAATTTACCTACATGTCCACTAGATGGAATATTCCATCCTACCTCTAGGCTTTTGTAAATGCTGGTTCCTCCACTTGGGTCACTCTTTTCCCCTCTTCACCTAGCTAACTCTCACTCAATCCACTGATCTTTGTCTAATGCCACTATAGAGGGTTAGAAATCTTGATTCTCCTTTGATCTTAGAATAGGATTTTTTAGGTAAATGCATGCATAGGGCCAAAGCCCTCAAGTAGAGGACCAAAGTCCACAGATAGCTTGGCAAAAGCCCATCTAATCTGTTTAGGGATGGGATTGTGTACTTTGACTATTTTAGGTCACTGGTTGGATTCCAGCTCAAAGGACTACTGACTATTTAACCTACTCATTGTTGTTAAGATATGTTGAGGATGCTGCTTGATTGCCGTTTAAATATGCTGAGGAAATTGCTGTAGGAAATATGCAAAAAATAAAGTTTGCTAAGGACAAGCTGTTTGTTGGTGGATCGATTTAGCATTCTGGAATGTCACATTGTTAATTTTATTGATGTTACTAGTTTCCGTTATTTAAGCTATACTTAGCCATAATTAACTTCTGTAACACTGCCTTTGTTTTTATGTCCCTCTTTGATGACTGAATCAACTGGTTTTTCTTGTGAAACTTCCTTGTCTTGACAATAAAAAAAAAAAAAAAAAAAAAAAAGCTAATCTTGAAGCAGGGCTACTGCCCCTGATGGGCTGCAGTCCCTCTAGGCTTCATTCATGGTGCTTTGAGTAATTCTTTCCTTTTTTTCATGTCCATTACACAGAGGGAAGTGTAACATGCCACTTCCTCTGAGAAGCCCTCCCAGGCCTGTCCTCTACTTTGTCTTCACAAATTACAAGACATTATAATTATATATGTATAATTGTATGTTTTACTAAGCCATGAACTCGGATCATCTTGCTCAGGAGAGAGCATAGAGGAGTAGTTAAGATTGTGGATTCTGGAGCCAGACAGCACAGACTCAAGTTCCCACTTTGCCACTTACTAGCTGCGGGATCTGGGGCAAGTTAATTAACTTCTCTAAGCCTTAGCTTCCCCTCCGATAAAATAGAAGAAATAATGGCACCTACTTCACAGGGTTGTTGTAAAACTTAAATGAGGCTAATGTATATAAAAAACTTAAAATAGGGTGGTAGGGGAGTCCAAGAGAGGGTTGGGAAGAGGGGGACCTCACCAACCTGTGCATCTCACCATAGAGATATGGTGACCCGGTTCTAGTTCTCTAGCTTGTACTATTGTATAAGTGCTAGTGATTTCATTATTATTAGTCACTGCCTATTCTCAACATTTGAAACACTGGAATATAGTAGATGTTCCTGAAATATCTGTTCAACAGAACCATTCATTCATTCAATAACCCTCTTTAACTGCCTGCTGTGTGTGGCGTAAGAGCTCCATCAGCACCACCCTCCGCCCCTGTCTGACACACCCCGCTCCCCATTTTCCTCTGTGGTCTGAGGGTAAGCGTGGCATGAAGTTGGAGCACAGAAGGCACTGGCACACAATAAGTCCCTGTATCACAGTAGGTACCCAGCGCCATTACAAAACAAGCGCATAATGGGTGTCCAGTAAACAGCAGGCATCCTTGGCATATAGTAGGGCCTTAGCACTCAGTGGGACAACTGGGACTGGCAAAACTTGGGAAGGAACTAAAATTCCTTCAATAAGTTCGCCGCCTGCTGGAGCGAACTTTGCAAACCCAGTTCTTGGGTAAAAGCGAACAACCCGCGCCCTCCGGCCGGCGCAAGCGCACTCACGATCGCGGGCAAGTCGACCGGCCGCAGCACCCCCTTGCGGAGTTCCAGGGCGCGCGCGGCCTCTTCTGGGCATGCGCACAGCGGCTCCATATCCAGCTGAGGGAGCGCGCTGTAGCCCTCGCGCGCGTGCTCGTACAGGAGGTTCCGATCCCGTCTCTCTGTAACGAAACTTCTCCGTAGGCTCTGGTTGCAGACGCAGCCTCCCTGGGGCCGGAGTCCCCGACGAGTCAGCAACTGCCGTAGGCGCCGCGCCACGGACGCAGCCATCTTGGGCCGGAGACAAGAAGGCACGCACCCTTTGTCCCGCCCACCCCGCGTTTAGACCAATTGCAAAGCAGCCGTCCTGCTCGGGACGAGCCAATCAGACCCTGGAAGAACTATGCCCTTCCCAGCCCCAAAAGCTGTTCAATGAGGAAAATTGACCTAGGTAGTCCTTGTCGTTGCCCAATCGCAGTCTGGGACACGCCCCTTCAATGACGCAAGAAGCAGAACCAGCCAATCCCTGCATAGATAACCCCCGGAAGGAATTAGAGGCAGGATTTGGTGGGGTTAGTGAGGTCAGTGGAACCCTTTGGTCCCCGATGCTCCCCGGCCCTCTCCCCTGTTCCCCCTTCCTGCTGTACGCACGCCAGGGCGGTTGGGCCACCGGGAGCCTATTCAGAGCGAGGATAAATTTACGGCGGGACTTTCCGTTAACAGCGTGAGCGGTTGTGGTTAGACCTGGAAAGGAACTTGCTTAGGTTTAACCCAGAAGGCTCGGAGAGCGAGACGAGGAGGATTTGGACCCTCGTCCGACTACGGCTACTCTTCCCTCCTCCTTTCTGAGTCTCTTATCTCCTCCTCCAGGAACAGCATGTCCTGGTCTGGCTTTCTCCGTGGCCTCAACACGTCTCTAAGTTGTGGTAAGTGGGGGACTTGGGCTGCAGGGACGAGGCTGGATGAGGGTTGTCCCCTCTGGGACTAGTGTGCCTCTGCCGGAGGCCCGAGGGAATCAGGGATTTTAAATCATGGTTCATACTCGGGTTTTTGGCGGAGGTCGGGTAGCAAGAGCAAGAGGTGGGAAGTAGCAGTATTGGGAGCTACTATGCGTCAAGTGGAGTTTGGGTCAATTGTTTATTTCTTCAGGAAGTACTTATTAAATACGTCCCATGGGTGAGACATCCAAGCAAGGCATTTTAGTCATTCATTCAACTGATATGTTTTAAGAATCGAGTACGAAGTTACTTCAAAAAGTTCCTGGAAAAATACAATTAAAAGATAATAGGAATCTTTCCGTGAGTTTTTTGAAGACCCTATATGTGCCAGGCACTAATGGGAAGCTTTATTTGTGCTAATTCCTTCCTTAGACAGCCTTCTCATGAGCCATGCCCTGTGTGAGGCATTTCAATCACTTATTCACTCTGCAGACCTTTACTAAGCACCTTCTGTTTGCCACTCACCAAGGATCACAGGCTGGGCAAGTCAGGCCTGCTCCCTGCCTTGGGAATCAGGGCTAACTTGACATGTGGGCTTTCAGAAACACCGTGTATATTTCATATGCTCAGGAGGGAGTCATGGTCATGGTACCTGGGATACAGGTGAGAAAACAGAGACTGAGATGCCACTAGGCAGAGACACACTTCTAGGAATGTCTCATTCCCCTTTGAGGATTCTGCTGTAATCTAGACAAAAGGAGACATGGGAATGGGCAACAGGATCAGGGCCTACCCTGAATTGAGAGGAAAGTGTGAAGTTGGGTTGCCGGAAGGGCATTTGTGCTAATGACAGAGAGAGAGGGGTAGGAGATACACAGATGGATGACGCTGTAACCTCAAAGCCCAGGAGCTTGGGTAGGGCCCAGGGTTGTCTCAGTCACTGCCATGTCTGTTATTGGGGCCAAGACACAATAGTTGCTTAATGAATGTTTGTTACAGAGAATTCAGTTATCTTTGAATCTTAAACCTTCTCTCCAATCCATGAACAAATCCTTTTGTTCTGCCTTGTAAATATATCTCCCTTCCCCATTCCCAGCCTGCCTTCCCTCTTACTATACTGTAGTCACACTGGTCTCCTTGCTGTTGGTGTTTTGGGGACACAAGCTGGAACAAGATGAGCAAGGGGGTGAGTGGGGAGCTGAGGTCAGGGAAGTAACAGGGACAGATCGGGTGGGGCCATATAGGCCATGGGGAGAACTTAATCCTTCCCCCTGAGTGAGAGAGAGCCATGGGAGGGCTTTGAGCAGAGGAGGCACTTGATCAGACCGGAATGTTCATAGGCTACCTCTGGCTGCGTGTGGAGAGGAGACTGTAGGAGCAGGGAGACTGGGGAGGAGGAGGGTGCAACAGGGTAGGAGACAAGGGTGGGCAAGACAAAGTGGGCATAGCAGAGAAGCGAGAAAGTGGGTAGATTCTGATCAGTATTGAAGGTTGAGCTGACAGGATCTGCTAACAAGTTGGATGTAGGTTTGAGAGGAGGGGGAGGGACACCTCCCAGGAACACCCCACAGGGCTGCTGTGGGGATGACATGAGTTATGCGTACAATGCATAGAATAGTACTTGACACAGTGTAAGCACTCACGCATGCTTTTTCTATCATTTTCATTTTTTTTGGTGGCTGGCTGGTATGGGGATCTGTTACTCTGCACTCTAACCAACTGTGCTAACCAACCAGCCCTATTATTATTTTTAAAACAGCATTAAAATTAATGCCTTCCTTGAATCAAATGAATTATTCATGTAAAATGCTTAAAACAGAATTTGTCACATGGCGGTTGCTCAATAAATATTAGCTGTAGTTATTATTATCTGTAAATACTCTTACCCCTAGATGTAAACAAATGCATCCTTGCAAAGTGCTTGGAACAATGCCAAGAACACCAAAATTGAGTTGCTAATACTATTATCTTGTTCGCTGGGATAACCCCCTTCCACCCTCCTGGTTGTGTCTCTCCAGGTCTAGCCTTGGTTCCCCGGCTCTGGGCCACCCGCTCCATGGCAACCCTGAACCAGATGCATCGCCTGGGGCCTCCAAAGCAGCCACCTCGGAAGCTGGGCCCCACGGAAGGCCGGCCGCAGCTGAAGGGCGTGGTTCTGCGCACGTTCACCCGCAAACCCAAGAAGCCCAACTCGGCCAATCGCAAGTGCTGCCGCGTGCGGCTCAGCACAGGCCGCGAGGCTGTCTGCTTCATCCCCGGGGAGGGCCACAGCCTGCAGGAGCACCATGTTGTCTTGGTGCAGGGTGGCCGCACCCAGGACCTGCCAGGTGTCAAGCTCACCGTTGTGCGTGGCAAGTATGACTGTGGCCATGTGCAGAAGAAGAAGTGACCGCTGGGGGCACAGTAGGTTGTGTGCCCCTGCAGAACAAGAACCTTCCTCTCCGGGCTCTAGCAGCCTCTTTGGAAGCTAGCTATTCTGGCTGTAGAGGCAGCTGATACTGGATTCAGATCCTAGCTTTGCCTCTTCCATCAGGACCACTACTGGCCCCAGAGTTCCTGGGGGTGAATTAGAAAAAGTGCTCCTCTGTCAATACCCTTGGCTTCCCTGTCTAGATTTTTGGCTTGAGAGATTTCTTCTGCTGGAATGAGACACTATGCTGTCATCTGTTGGGAACGGGCTGTAATAAACACACAGAGCCCCTGGCTGTAATGTGAGTCCCTTGGTGCAGTGTTTGGTCTCTCATAGTGGACAGACAACTGATGTCTGTTCTGGGCTTCAGTTTCCTCCTCCAGCAAAATGCTTCATTGTAAAGATTAAATTAGATGCTCTATGCGCATGACATGTGCAGAAGGCTACTCTATTGTAAGCTTTGGAGTCAGGTAGGTGGCACCGAAGCCCACTTCCCCTTCCTGCAGGCCATAGGGTCTGGGCACATAAAGCCCAGGCCTTAAGCTTGGTCATCTGGAAAATGGCAGTCATTGTAATGTTGATGTTGAAGGGGTGCTGGGAGGATTAAATGGGGTGCACTGCTTCATACATAGGAGATGTTCTTTTATCTTATTGTCAGACTCACACACCTAGGTTCAAGTCCTGACTCCAACTCTTAATTGCTCTGGACTTGGCTTATTGGTTCCCCTCTTTGGGCCTCAGTTTCCTCCCCTGAAAAATGGCACTGGTAGTAATGTTGACCTCACATGATCATATTAGTATCTCCTTTGTTCGGTTTTGTAAAGATTAAATTAGATGCTCTATGCGCATGACATGTGCAGAAGGCTACTCTATTGTAAGCTTTGGAGTCAGGTAGGTGGCACCGAAGCCCACTTCCCCTTCCTGCAGGCCATAGGGTCTGGGCACATAAAGCCCAGGCCTTAAGCTTGGTCATCTGGAAAATGGCAGTCATTGTAATGTTGATGTTGAAGGGGTGCTGGGAGGATTAAATGGGGTGCACTGCTTCATACATAGGAGATGTTCTTTTATCTTATTGTCAGACTCACACACCTAGGTTCAAGTCCTGACTCCAACTCTTAATTGCTCTGGACTTGGCTTATTGGTTCCCCTCTTTGGGCCTCAGTTTCCTCCCCTGAAAAATGGCACTGGTAGTAATGTTGACCTCACATGATCATATGCTTTTGCCACATTAGATGTTAAGATACGGGAACTGTGCTTGTATCACTGGAGCCCAACTCTGGTCCAAACCCCACCTTCCACACTTACTGACTGGGTGACCATGGGCAGATCATTTAATTCTGGACTATTCAGTATTGGTAACTGTGTCTGCCTGAGAGCTGTTGGGAGGACCACTGAGAACTGGCCTGGGAGCTGTTCCGTGAGTCACAGCTGTCTCTGGTTCTGGAAGCTTGCCTCCATTCTCACACAGCGCTTAGCACATAGCCTCTTGAAGTTTTCATGACTGTAAATACCCCACGGGGTCTTTTAGGATCAGAGCTGGAGGCAGACAAGTGCACTGATTACAGACAAAAATTGCCCATCAAGGGGCCGGCCTGTGGCTCACTCGGGAGAGTGTGGTGCTGATAACACCAAGGCCCCGGGTTCGGATCCCATATAGGGATGGCCGGTTCGCTCACTGGCTGAGCGTGGTGCTGACAACACCAAGTCAAGGGTTAAGATCCCCTTACTGGTCATTTAAAAAAAAAAAAAAAAAAAATTGCCCATCACCTCATATTTAGCACCAACTTTATTGAGCTAGTTTGTTGGCCATTCCCAGCTGGGGAAATCGTGGGAGCCATGGCGAGGAGAGAACAGGAGAGCTTTCCCTCATGGCACGCCTTGCTCCAGGGGTCTGTATACAAGAGGGCTCAAGTGCAGAAAAGAGGGTGTTTCTTGGCAGGAGGTAAGCTGCCCCTGAAGCA